ATTCTCTTAATGAATAGAATGATTTGTTCTAATGGTGTTTGTAAATAGCTTCACAAGTCCACTTCGTGTACAGCAATTAACCACTAAGAATAATATATGCAGTGTATTATTTGTTGAAACTGTACTTCCGATTGGATTTGAAACTGTCTCATTGCTATCTGTTTATCAATAAAACTTTGAAAAAAAAATACACAATATATCCTTCCCTGAAAAAAAAAAAAAAAAAAAAAAAAAAGAAAGGCTTTCACATCTGGGGCCACCCCACAAGGCCTCATAGTCAGATTTCTACACTGCTCTAATAGATATTTTCCAAGTTAGTTTATTTGCTCAATAATAGCTTGTACCTTTTGTAGTTTAAGAAACATCATAAAACAATTTGGAAGTAATAGCAAAGTGACTTAGTAATCATAAGGTATTACTATTGTCAAATACAAAAATAAATTAATCTGCTTTCCAAAGCATGCTTCAAAAGCAATTGTGACACTGACTGGTGCAGAAGCTACTCAGCTAGATGGGCATGGTGGCATATGCCTGTAATCTCAGCACTCAGAAGGCTGAGGCCGGACAGCCACTGTGAATACAAGGCCAGCCTGGGCTACAAAGTGAGTTTAAGGTGAACCTGAACTGTGTAGTAAGACTCTGTTTCAAAAAGATTAAAAAAGAAAAAAAATCACTCAACTTCTGGGAAAGGATCTATAGGACAAGTGGCAACACTGGCCCATACCTCGATGAGGAGCCTGGGCCTTGGGCTCCACAAGCCAGGGACACTGCCCAGCCTGTTCCTGGAACAGTCTTTTGAGTGTAGGGCAGAAGGAACAGAAATTCAGTATTTTCTGAAGATACAGGGAATGGAATTAGGCCTTACACTGAGAAACAGCCCCAGGCACCTCTTATCAGGCTGGGCATGTCCAGAGCTAACAGAGACTGCAAGGAGCTGGCCTGCTGTAAAGCGGTTGCTTCCTTTGGCTGCACTCCTGGGCCATGGCTGGAGCAGCCAAGCAGGGCCTCGAGGCACCAACTCCTCCCACTCAGGGCCCAGCAGGTCCTCACCCTAACTTGAGCAGGTGCACCATCACAGACCACAGGGCCTGGCTGGTCCTAGTTCAAAAGCAGACTGTGGGTCTTGGTCTTATTTAAATTTTATTTTTTCTGAACATCTGTGATATAGTAATAAAAGTCAGCTAATACTTTGGTTTCTTTTACATAGTATGACAGAGACATTATTTTCTCATACTTAGAGATTGTTAGCCTAGATTTTTAGTGCAACTTTGTTTTTTAATTATAGAATTGATACAAAAATGTTGTGAAACTTTGAAGGAGAGGATAACCCTAAGCATGTGCCTATGTATGAAACATGTACCCAAGCCAGGCAAGGTAGAACTTGCCTGTAATCCCAGCACTCTGAGAAGCTGAAGCCAGAGGATCACAAGTTCAAGCCCAGCCTCGACAACTTAAGCGACTCAGCAAGGTGTCTCAAAATAAAAATTTTTTTAAATTTCTCAGAATGTACTTTAGTACAAAAGCCCTGGATTCAATCTCTAGTAATGTAAACAAATAGACAAACATGAGAACAAAAAGCAAAAAACTCATTCTTGAAATGTCTGACTGGAAGCCCACAAAAAGTGCCGAATAATACATCCATGTCAAGCCATTTAATCAGAATATCAATGGTTTTTACCATTTAAAAAATCATGTAAAGTCAATACCTAAGCCCATCATTGCATGTTCTACCAAGCATCTCCATTCTTCAAAAAAATAATTATGGAGTACCAACTATGTGTCAAGTATTATACTAACTACTGTTTCCAGTTGCAAGATTCTTTCCAGGACTGACTCAGGAATTTACAGAGTGGTGTCCTCCTTTTGAACTGTTTTCTTGAGCTAATCAAATTTAATGGTTTCTGAAAGGTTCTAAATACATTTTTTTTTAAAAAAGTGAATCCACAAAAATAAAATAAAATAGAAAGTGGTTCACCTTCTCTTACTTTTTCCTATTATTTCAATTATCTAAAAGCCCCCACTCAGCACCCAAGGTCTTTGATCTGAGATATATCCCCAATTCTATTCTTTATTTTGAGACAGGGTCTCACCAAAGTTGCCTTGCCTGGGTTTGAACTTGCACTTTTCTTGCCTTAGCCTCTCAGTGCTGTGGTTACAGGGGTATGTCTCCATGTCTAGCTGATTTTTTTAAAATCCACATCTACCATTCAAAGGTGAAAAATACAAGGAAATGGGAAAATTAATATTTTGCAGTTGATCTCACAGAACACATTTTGTTTGCTTTAGGGAATTTTCTCCCATAAAATTTTGTTTGGGAATTTCAAATGTGTTCTTGAAGCTCAAAGGAATCCCAAAGAGGTGGCATTTCAAAAATAAATCTTGGGGGGCCGGCGAGATACCTCAGCAGACTAAGTGCCTGCTTAGGCAAGTGCAGGGTCCAGGGCTTGATCCCTAGTACCACAAGTTGCATGGGCCCAACCCCTAGATGCATTGAGCCTGTGACTGAGTCCTAGCATGGTGGCAAATGCCTGTAATTCTAGGGCTGAAAACAGGATCACTACAAGTTCAAGCTGTGTATGAGACCCTGCACAAAAAAAAAATCAATCAATCTTGGGATATTTCTGCAGAGTGATTTTTCCTGGGCAGAGAGACTTTGTTGATTCAAACAGCAGAGTGACATAGTCTCTTGTGGTATTTTGAAAAACAGTCTATGACCATACCATCCTGAATGTCCCCAATCTTATCTGAAAAACAATCAATATATTGTATTTCTCTTTAAATTTTAGAAGATTATATCTATCTAGTTAGCTATCTATATATAGCTAGATACTAGATATAATTATTATGCTTTCTTTTAATTATCAAACAATGCCTTTCCTTGGAGACCAAAACCAGGAAAAAAAACTAGCAATATTGTGCAGCAAGCTATCTTTATGTGAACGTCAAGAATAACCTGAAGAGCTGAGCATGCTGGCATGTACCTGTATTCCCACCACTCTAGGACGGTGAGGCAGGATGGCAAACTACAGTCTAGCCTGGGTAATTTAGTGACTTAGTAAGATCCCTGGCTAAAAAACAAAAAAAAAAAACAAAAAAACCAGAAAGTGTTGAGGATGTCATTAGGTACAAAGGCCCTGGGTTCAATCCTCAATAAACATAATCTGAAAATGGAATTTTAGTAAATTCTCACAAGTGGGCAGTGTGCAGCAGACATTCGACGTACAGATAGGCCCTTTGGAGTGCCTGAGATGAAGTGGGACTATCTGCTGAGTAAAGGGCAGCTGGCCTCCCACTTGTATAGCGACCCCAACTGTCCTCTTTGCCTGAGAGGAGGCCATTGCTTTCTTTTCCCAAAAGGTCCTCTGTGTCAGTGAGCTTTGGCCCTGCCTTTGAAACCCTCGGGGGTGCAACTCTCAAGGCCCTGGTGCTTTTCATAATTTACCTGCTTGACTGATGGTGCTGTGACTTTCGCTGTGCAAACTCCTCACATTTGTGGATACCCCATACTGTAAATGGGCAAGCAGGAAGGAGATCGGAACATTGCAGCAAGCAGGAGCAGCAGCGCCTATAAACCCCGCACTGAGAGGGACCCCTTCCCAAATGGGATTTGCAAGGAGTGCGACCCCAAGACCTGCTTCCCGAATGCTCAGGGACTGTTTCACCCGCTGAAGGGAGGCGTCGCAGCTTCCCTCCCTCTCCCTGCCTTCGGGGGTGTGGCGAAAAGCAAATGGGACCAGCAACTTGCCACAGGATCCCCATCATCAGAGAATGCCAGTGTAAACTATCATTATTTCCTCCTCTGTGGAGCGAGGATGATAGCACACAACTGCGGTCGACTCGGGCGTAGGTGAATCTTAATTACGTAATGCTTAAAATACAAAAGGTACTTGATGCTGGCCTCGGAACGTGAGATCCAGCACCTCTGCGGGCTTCTCGCCTTTCCTACTTCAGCTGAGTCTGTGTTTCAGAGAAAATGTGGTCTTTCCTGGGTAATTGTCACCGAGTGTGAGTGTGCGAGTGTGTGTGTGTATTCGCACGCGGGCGGGCGACTCGGTGTAAGGGAAAGAAACCTTGGTGGCCGCGTGGAGCATCTCAGTGCTGACTGAAACAACCGCAGAAGGACCCCTCAGGGGGCCGGCCGGGGGCCCGCTGGTGCCCGCGCCCGCCGCGCCGCCCGTCCGCCCGCACCCCGGAAGGCAGGAGGAGCGGGGGGCGGGGCCTGGGAGCAGCGGAGGCGTGGGAGCGGGGCAGAGGGGCAGCCCCGAGGGGCCGGCCAATGGGAGCGCGCTCCGCCGGCGGCCAATCACGGGACGCGGAGCCCGGCAAATCTGCCCTGCAGTGCGGGGCGGGGCCGCAGGAGCCGGGTGCCGCCGGCTACACTTCGGGGCGCGGTGCTTCAGGGAGCCACCCGGTAGGGGCTGCCGAACCGAGGGGCCCGGACGAGTGCGGGGCAGCCGGCAGCTGTGCCAGCCGCGCGCGGGACTCAGCGGCACAGGTCGCCGGGAGCCGGCGCGCGCCGCCGCGCACGTGTGGACCCGGACAGGTCCGCCGCCGCGCGGGCACCTGTCGTGTGAGTAGCGCCGGGCGTGGCTGCCCCGCGCACGCTGGCTTCCTGTGAGATTTCTCTTCAGGCCGGCGTACCCTGCTCAGCTCTTGGGGGAATAAGAAGTTTATCGGGGAGGGACTGAGCAGATTAAGGGAGTAGTAGAGCAGCGGCCGGGTCGAGAGGGTGGGAACCACCACCTCCTCGACCGCCTTCCGGCCAGAAAGGCGGTTCGCAAAGACCGGTGCGACAGACAGAGGTGGCCCTGAAGTGTCCAGAGAGCCCGAGCGGTGATGGTCACTGAGTAAGTGACACCGGTCAGAGCCCGGCCAGTTTATGCACGACAGGGATGCTAGCATTTAGGAAGGCAAGGAGGAAACTCAGGATGGGGACCATTTGCTCCCCCAACCCCAGCGGGACAAAGACAGCGCTGGAAGTCTGCAACGCCGACTGGATGGCCTCGCTCCCCCGTCGCCTCCACAACGTCCCCCTTTCCAATCTGGCAATCCCAGGTATTTTTCTATTTCTGCTTGTTTGCACTGTGTTGTAATTCTGCCATTTTAGTGCTCTTGGTGGGTCAGGTTGCTTTTCTATTGTTGCTGAGAAAACAGTTGTCAGTGGCCCTTCTTAATTCCAAACCAGAAACTTAACACCAAAGCAGCCAGTTTAAAGAGATTTACGTACACAGCGTCCTTAGCAAAAGGGACTCATCAGCACTGCATTGTTGTTTGGGGCTTTGTTTCTACTTCATAGCCTTATGAAACTGTCAACCCTGTTCATGTTAGGGCTAGCATATATGAAGGGTGCATTTACATTAATCATTTAAAGATATAAAGGACAGGTCAAGGGTAATGGATAAAAACTCATTAACAATTTTACATCTAGTTAAAATTTAAAATTGAAAAATACTTCCTTTCTCATTGACCTGACCATGTCTAAGAAAGGAAAAAAAAAAAAAAAATAGGTAAGTGTTAGAGAGGTTCAGAATCAGGGCTGAGCATAAAGACATATTTTTGTTGTTGGAAATGCCAGAAATAGAGAACACACGTTCACATCACTGGCAATCATTAGATGTGGTGAGGTGGTGGGGTTTGAAGCTTTCTCTGTATACACACAGGTGTCTACCTGACTGATCTAGAATTGCAGTCTTGAAAAAGTGCTTCTCCAGCCATTGTCTCTCTGTTGAGGGTTTTCCTCCTTGACATTACTCCCATTGGCTTTGTTAAATGAGGACTTTTGCTTCTCACTGGAAAGCTTGTTACACCATAGTTTCTAGGGAAGGATGTTCAGACTGCACTGAGCCTGGCATGGTGTGCTGAACAAAGTCCTACATGCTGATACTTGGAAAGCACTCAAGGAGCCAAGGATGGACTTCTGCCAATCCTTCCTCTCACTTGGAGACATAACAATTGAAGTTCACCTCTAGCCTACCAGACAACTCCCAAGCCTTCCCTGGACCAGTCTGCCTTTTTGTTGCCTGAAAAGATGACCTCATGCGACCCAAAGCTTTTCTTTCTATGCCTGAGAAATTGCTGTACTGTCTTCAAATTTAGGATTCAAACACTCATCTTTTCTTTTGGAGGTCTTCCAAGTTCATTGTCCTCATGAGCCCTCGTAGCTTTTAAGCAAGAGGGCTGCTAAATTTCTTTATGATCATTTCTGTTTTACTATACATTGACTCTTGCTCCTCGGGAAATGTCATCTGCTCATGCTTTGTTCAGAGTATCTTTTCCATGTTTAATTGATGCCTGTGGACTCATCACTGAAATGATGCATCAGCCAGTTTGAACATTAGTCATTTGCCTTTAGGCCTTCAGTGGAGTTATTTTGTTGAGTGATATGACAGGTAGTATGTGTTTGCAAGCAGAATGGCATCTTAGGCAGGCAATAAATGGCCCTAGTGTTCAGAGTATGTGTGGGGTAGGCAGGAGCTTCCTCCATGGTTGTACTTAGAACATCTCAAATCTTAGCAGCAGCTCAGCTGTTGGTTTGGCTATGCACTCAGACTCCATGACTCTAGAAAGAGGCTGGGCATTTCTTCTGTGATCTAGACAGTTCTAGAATACTAGAGGAGGCATACTGCAGTGACCTTTGCTGTAACTGGAAATGCTATGATTGGCTACTGTTGAGACTCAGCCCACCCCGCTTTCTGTGAAGTCCAGTCTCCAAAGCAAAAAGGAAAAAAATGACCATGACTTCTCAAAAGATATTGAATTAACTACTGGGAAATAGCCTTTTCCCAGGAGTGAAAAGAATGTAAGTATATGTATGATGTAAGTTCAAGACAGGAAAATCGCATATTAAGAGCTAACAATTCATGGACTCCTCCATACTAGTTCTCTTTACTCTACCTTATACTCCCCAGATAAAGGCTGACAGCCTGACAAGACTTGCTGAGAAATTTGGAAATTAGAAAGCCATCCCAGAATGCCTTCTTCTCTTCCTTCTCCCCGCCCTGTACTGTCACCTTCATCATAATAGTTGTTCTTTACTGAACCCTACCATGCAGCACCCACTGGAATTACCTCAAGTTCTCATATCCATGAAGTAGGGATTGATATTGTCATTTTAGAAATAAAGAAATTATTGTCCAGAAAGGTAAAGTAGTTTTCTAAAACATCACATAGATATTAATTGGCAGAGCTAATATTTAAGCCCTTAGGTAATTGCACAACCTGTGCACTGCCCCTGTGCCCTTGAGGGGGCCTTGGGAAGTGCAGAGCAGAGAAGGCGATTTCAAGCTGAAAGCCAGATTACACAGACCATATTCTGCAGGGAATGAAAGAATTTTTAGAATGAAGTCATCTTTATCTGAGTAATTATGTATCAATGTAAAGATTAGATTAAGCTGGGTGTATCATATCTGGGTGATCTGTCTCATTAGACATCTGAGACAGATTGATTGATCTGTATATTCTTGTTTTAAATTGGTACCCAGTAGGTTTTAAGTTCAAATTTAGCCTTTGGAGCTATTGTGTGTGTGTGTGTGTGTGTGTGTGTGTGTGTGTGTGTGTGTCTGTCTGTCTGTCTGTCTGTCTATGATGCACATGTGCGCGCACAGGTACACACTCCCCAGTCTGGGGTGTCTATAAGTCTGGGTCATATTTGTCAGGAGCAGAGGAAGGCAGCAATGACCTAGGAAAGGTCAGGAAAGAGGTAGAGGCTCTGGTGATACTAGCAGAACTGGGATGGAGAAAACTATGTCAGACTAGAGCGCACCTGCTGCATTTGCCTAAATTGTGACGGGACAGAACATGTGTGAATGTGCACCTCTCGACAAAGCTTGATGTATTAGTTTACTTCCGCAAGTGTTAAGAACACCTGTTAATCACCCAAGCATACTGAAATGTCTTGAAGAAGACCCTCAGAGTAATGCTTATAGCAAACTAATCATTTGATTTCTGAAGGGTAAAAGATTTGAGAATTTTAAAAAGTCACATTTTTAAATTAAAAGTTTAAACTCTACACACAATTTCATTAATGTTATTGAAAACATTTTCTGCATAATGCTTTTCAATGGACTCTTTTTCTTTGCATATTTTAGTGTTGTTACTTTTTCTTTCATTTTTAGTCACACTTTTTGTCTTTTATTAAAAGTGAAACATTTGGCCTGTGGGGAGGAACCTTGAACTTCAAGGTCTTGAAATCTATGCTTAGCTCTGGCTTTCTAATACTAAAGAAGTATTTGAATTTCTCAGATAGTAGGTGTATTTTCTTCCTATGTAATTAAATTTTTGAATTAACAGTCATGTAAGAGTTTTGTTTTATTGCCTGTTCTTTGTATAGATGTAAAAGGAGATAAAAAGGGTAATTGGATCCTATTAGGTCTAAGAGTAATTTTTATGCCTCTTCAAAACAAGAAATTATTTTTGGTCTGTATAAATAATTGGTCTGTGTAAACAAGGATTCACAATTGCTCTAAATGAAGCAAGATCCATTTTAGTATTGCACAAAGGGCTGTAGACTAGTTAATATAAGTGTATTTTCACCTAATTGGGTCCTTAGTGCATCTTAAGAAACCTCTATGTTTAGGTCTATGAGAGACCAAAGATAAAGCAGGCTTCAGTCCTGTTGTTAAAGAAGCTTATGGTGTGTGTGTGTGTGTGTGTGTGTGTGTGTAGTTTAAAAAAAAACAGATTAGGGTAAATGTTAAAACAGAGATTAAAAGTAATGTGTATAAACAAAAAAAGGGGATATAGATGAATGTCCATTTTGTATCTGTGTATTCAAAATGGTTAGAATAGATATATAGTTACATTCTCTTAAAGAATAGAGAGATTTGTGTTTGTAAATGGGATATCATGTCCACATCTTGTACAGCAATTAACTACTAGGAAGAATGTATGCATTGTGTTAATTATTGAAACTGTCCTACCAACTTGGTTTGAAACTGTCTCATTGCTATTTGTTTCTCAATAAAATTATGGGGAAAAAATAAATAAATAAAACAGAAAAATTGAAAAAAAAAGTAATGTGTTATAGAAGCATGCAAAATGGAAACTTTCATTTCAGCTTTTAGGATGAGAAACTACTTCATGGAGAAAGTGGCATTTGACCTAGATTTTTTAAAAGCACAAGATTTCAAGAGCTGTGTCTTGGGGTTTAAGGTTAGGAAGAGGCTTTCCAGATGAAGTGAACTGTTTGAACTAAACTATGAGCACATCTGTAGGAAATGGCTGGAGGACACCCTCTGCTGTCCTCCATGTCACTCTTATCGTACTTCACATCACATTGTTTTTAAATGTCTACCTTTCCCATGGTCTGCAAGTGGCTCACAAGTAGAAGATATTACTTTCTCTTATAATCCTGAATCCTAATAAAAGGTAGCACTTCAGTTATTAGTGACTGATGAAGAAATAATGCATTGAACTGCAGATTAAGAATGTTGGAATGATGTCTTTCAGGCACTATAATTTTTCATTTTTTCATTAAAATTGAAGCTAAGCTGATTGGTTAGTTTCACTTTTCATAAATAGCCTTCTGAAGCTATCTATCTCTGTTGTTTTGCATCTTATTCCTGAGGCTCCAGGAATAAAGACCCATTACAAACACTCTTAGAAATGAAATTCCTGAGGCAGATGAAATGGTCAGGAGAGTTGCAGTAGATCTATGGCATAACTTGCTTTCTAGGAACAGTTCTTTCATCTACATTATTTCTGCCTCTGTTCTTCCCTTGGTGACTTGGAGCTTACCATCATTCTTGCTGGCTGCTCTCTCTCCATGTTCCTGTTTTTTGTTCCACTCTTAACCTTTTTCCACTCACTTGGCCCATATCTTGCTTCCCTTTCTAGGGTCAGCCCTTCCCCTGGTGCCACTGGATGCTCTCTGATTCCCAGATGGCTCTTTCTTCTCAGGTTGCTCGTATCCATCCCCTTCTCTTCTTTCCCACCTTTCTGGGAGCCTTTTTCCTTTGCAGCTGTGCTCATGACCATTTGGTGATTTTTTTTTTTTTTTCCCAGCTCTTTCCCTTACTCATGTGAATGACATAGAGATAAAATCCATAGAAGAGCAA